GTTTAAGCATTTAAGGATTTTAACTTTTTTTAGATCTGACCTCATCTGGAATGCTGCTTCACTAATTCCCTGAAGGTTAGCATTTTAAAGACATGATAAGATTTAAAGGGTACTTTCTGATAGTGGGTCAATAAATCAGTGTGTATTAGTTCATTCCCACACTGCTATAAAGAACTACCGAGACTGAGTAATTTATAAATCAAAGAGGTTTAATTGACTCACAGTTCCGCATGGCTGGGGAGGCCTCAGGAAACTTAAAATCATAGTGTAAGGTGAAGGAGAAGCAAGCACCTTTTTCACAAGGCAGCAGGAGAGAGAAAGCCAGAAAAGTAACTGCCAAACACTTTTAAACCATCAGATCTCATGAGAACAGCATGGAGGAAACTGTCCCCATGATCCAATCACCTTCCACTAGGCTTCTCCCATGACACATGGAGATTGCAATTCGAGATGACATTTGGTTGGGGACATAAAACCAGACCTTCATATCACAGTGTCATTCACTAGGCCTGGTTAGAAAAAATGTTGTTGGGTCTGTATTTTTATAGTCTCAGCAGTCTTATTCCCATTCTGTTGCTGTTCTGTTTGTTCCTTCTGCTCTAAATTTAAATTCATTTCCCCTGAGAGAAGGAAGTGTGTGTGTTGTGAGATTTAAAAAAAAAAAAAAAATCTCTGCCTAAGAGATGTATGGAAGCCAAGGAAGAGGCAGAAAGAGATGAGTTCAGATCACAGGGCTGGAAGGAAAAGGAGGATCTGGGGATGAAAAGGAGAAAGCCTCTAAGTCTTTTTAAATAGTTTCAAATATCCCCTTGTTTACCTCTTGAATAAAGGTGATTTTTTCTTTCAGGATTTCTTTTAAAAGTTTTTAGGTGCCATTGGAAGTAAGTCTCCTATTTATACGTCTGGTTGTAAAACCAGCTCTTTCCATTGGTATGCACAAATAAATTACTTAAGATATATTCAAAAGATCCCCATTTTTGGTCATTGTTGCCTATCATCATTCCAGGTTAGAGGGGTCCACTTTCCCAGATGCTGCAAGAGAGTACCCCATAAATCATATATGTAATTCCAGCTGGTATTTCTAAAAAGAGTGTTTGGGTTTTGAATACTCTTATTATTGATTTCACATAATTCACAAACTTTTCAAAAGTGACCAAAGTCAGGAATGTGTTTAGGATCAAAGTGTGACATGTCTTGGACTGTCTCTAATTGTCAGATGGCAGCAGAGTCCTCAAGGGTGAGGACAACTGGATTGTCTGTAATTGTCAGATGGCAGAGTCCTCAAGGTACAAGGGACCAGACCCTCATATTATGCCCATCTGGGAGAGCAAAAGGGGTATACTTTTTAGTTAGGAACTAACAGGAATTGGTCAAAATTAAAGGCAAATTCAGAATTTCAAGAAATAGAAGACAGCTCCTATCTCAAAAGCATACGATCTAAAATGAAACCACTGGTACCATCTGCCAGTTCCTTCATTTGAACCTCTGCTGTGAGACAGAGGTGAAAAAAACTTAACCCAAACCCCTGGTTCTGAGGCAGAGGCAGAAAAGCTATGACTTGCACCTCTGCTGTGAGACAAAGGGGGAAAAAAGGCAGTTCCCTGCAGAGCTCTTTACCCAAATCTCCTGTCCAAAGACAGAGAAGGAAGCCCTCATTCTGAAAAAAAAAAGAGAGGGTTTGAAAAACAGCCCAAATAAAGTGTAGACCTTCAACCAAAGAGTGGGAGGTCCAAATTCAGGAAATCTCACTTGAAACACCTGAAGGCACTTCTGAATGAGGAGAGTTCACACTGCTATCAAGTGCTGCTTTCAGAGAGAAACACCAGGTGGCTGGGGGAGTCACTGAATCCTGCTGACTTACTCCAGATGTTTGACCCATAAGGAAGAAGCTGAGGCAAAATTAATATAAGTTGGGAGTTTACGTGGGCCAAGCTTGAGGACTGCAACCCTCCGAACATAGATTCGAGTTGCCCTGAATATACACTCTGAGTAGCAGCAGTTACAAGTGGATTTTCAAAGAGAAAGGTTTTTTACAAGTGGATTTTAAAGGGAAAGATGATCTTGAGTTATTTACCAATAATTGGCCTTAAAATAAAATAAGCTATGATTGGCTATACATTATTAAACTACAGGATGTGGGTTATAATGTCCGGTGCAGCATTAATTAGTAGGTTACTGTTTAGCTTCTGTGGCAATAGTAAGCAGTTTTAAGAGACAAATACACGGCTCAAAAGCTGTGTATTTCACAGCTGTTTCACTTTAATGCCTCTCTGGGCCTCATAATTTAAAAGGATTTGCATTTCTCAGATAAAGTTCTTTTTTTAACATTTAAAAAATTTTCAGCTCAGTATCATAACTATCTGTATTTATGTTAACATAGTAATGCTTTAAATTATTTTACCATTTATAAAATTTGTGATGCAGGAAAGCCACGCTATCCTGGGTCTTCACCTTCTGAGTAGCAATCATACCTGAGGGATACATGTTTGTAGTCTGAGAAGTGCTGGCATTCTTCTTCCTTTGCAACTCAGAAGTCGCTAATTCAAGTTATCTTTTAGCACTGTTCATTCATTCTTTGATAAATATTTACTGAACATCTACTATTTTCTAGACACATCAACAGGACTGAGGATACAACTGTGAACAAGATATGCATGAGTCTTATCTTCATGGGAGCTATCAGAAATAAAGAGGAAATTAAAATACATTGTGATGTGTTCTAAGATAAAGAGGGAAACTTAGAGTGCCAAGAGAAATGTAAAAAATGTTACCTATCCTGTGTTAGCTTGCATAGGAAAAAAAAAAAAAATGAAGAAAAATGTCACCTAACCCCATAGCAGGTGATGAAGAAAGATTTTCAGCCAGATGCAGTGGCTCACACCTGTAATCCCAGCACTTTGGGTGGCTGGGCCGAGGCAGGAGGATCACTTGAGCCCAGGAGTTCAAGACCAGCCTGGAAAACACAGTGAAACTCTGTGTCTACAAGAAAATTTAAAAAGTAGCTTGGTGTAGCGATGTGCGTCTGTGACCCCAGCTACATGGGAGGATGAGGCAGGATGATCCTTTAAACCCAGGAGGTCAAGGCCTCCATGAGCCATGTTCATGCCACTGTACTCTATCCTGGGGGACAGAGTCAGAGTGAGACCCTGTCTCAAAAAAACTTCCAGAACAAAATAGTCTACAGGATGAGCTGGAATTAGCCAGGTAAAGTATAGGAAAGAATATTTCATGCCTGGCTTAGAATAAGCCCCGGAGGCTAGAAAGAACATGGACTCTATGGGAACAAATTCAGTGCACTGGTTTAGAGGGCAGATGTCAAAGTGCAAAGGAGAAAGATGGGGGGAGGGGACAAGGGAAGCTGGAGAGAAAAATCAAGGCAGGTTAATAAGGTCCTCTGTTAAACAGTTTAGAAGGGGACTGAAAGACACCAATAGGATTTAAGCTTAAGAAGAATTAGTTTATACGTGTTTTTAACAAAGATTGCTCAGGAACTATGTCTGGAAAAGAACAGGGCTTGACTTACATTAAGGTAAGACATGGAGTTACAAAACCTGGGGCCCAAAAGAATTGGAGCGAGTTAATTCCTCTCCTTTAAAGTGTCTCTTTTCTCCAAAGATAACCAGTGTATCATCTCTGGGGCTAACATTCTTTGTCCTTTTCCCACTGTCTGTGGCAGCTCCCAACCCAAGTCACGAGGGCTACAGCGTTCCCTCAAGGAACCCATACTTTTCCAACCTGCTGCAACACACAGAGCACATGTAATTTTATTTATTTTTCTGAGACAGAGTCTGACTCTGTCACCCAGGCTGGAGTGCAGGTGTGTGACCTTGCCTGGCTGCAACCTCCGCCTCCTAGGTTCAAGTGATTCTTATGCCTCAGCCTTCCAAGTAGCTAGGATTACAGGTGTATGTCACCACACACGGCTAACTTTTGTATTTTTAGTGGAGACGGGGTTTCACCATATTGGCCACACTGGTCTCGAACTCCTGACCTCAGGTGATCCACTTGCCTCAGCCTCCGAAAGTACTAGGATTACAGGTGTGAGCCACCGCACCTGGCCAAGCACATGTAATTTTAAAGGTGAGCATACTTGTGGCCTTTCTTATTTTATTGTTGTTATTTTAGAGATGGGGGTCTTGCTACATTGCCCAGTCTGGTCTCAAACTCCTGGGCTCCAGTGATCCTCCCACCTGGGCCTCCCAAGGTGCTGAGATTACAGGTGTGAGCCACTGTGCCCAGCCTGGCCTTTCCATTTGGCTTTTTCTGATCTGATATCCTCATTTAGGCCACTATTAAATTTCCATCTATAGAAGTAGGAAGTCAGGAAAGGACTGGAGGGAGTTTCGGCAGGTTAATGATTGCAATGGAAAGAGAATACAATTATTGAGGTGTTTTGACTCACTTGGTCATTTCCCGAGAAACTCTTTGCTTAAATGTTTCCACTCTTCAGGTGGAGATGACGATACCGTTCAGGTTTTCAGAAGTCCAACCTCTTGGACAATAAGCAACATATAGTTTGGTAACTGCAGTGGCTAAGCCAAGGAAAAAATATGCATAACTACGACAAACAGGTACTTAATGGGAACCTTATCTAAAGCTGCCAGATATTTAGACCAAGTGCTCTTTTTGTTATAAGCTGGTGTGATGCCCATATGGTTTTCAGGGCTGCTGTTCCCTCTGTGAGGAAGGAATCGTCTTTTTCCTGAACTTCTCTTTCTCTGAACTTTGAGGCCATATTTCTGTCAGTTCAAAGTGGGCAGATTTGCCAACTGGAAAGATGATGAGACGCAGCCTCCTAACTCTGTAAGGACTTTTCAGGTCTGTGGGTGAACGTCATTCCCGATGCTACAAGATTAGCAGGACGTGCCTCACAAGATATGTTTACAATGAAGGGCATCACAGACTGAAAACCAAACAGGGTAGGAGAACACAGGACCATTTCCTTTTCCTGTCTCCATCTGACCCTGGAAGGCGGGGACATTTAAAACCAGGACCACTCCAGGAGAAGAGCACGTTAGCTACTGCCCTCCAGCCCCCTTCAGTGTTGTTTTCGTAAAGGATTTAAACACTGGCGAGGGCGGTGGCTTCCAAAGGCGCACAGGCGTCCCTTTTCCAACTTGGTCTTCTCATTCTCCCTTCCTGCTCCATAACTACAACGTGTTTCTGTTTGTAATCATCTTGGCTTGTCCTTATCTCTTCTTGTAAGAAAAATCCTTTGCGCCATTCCCCTCCAAGCTCCAGAAAAAAGCCTGGAAAACGCTCCCACCTCAGCCCCAGTGTCGCTCAGCGGTCAAGGAGCGAGCGACGTAGGAAACCCTGAGATAAGACCCTGGCCCCGCGCTGGGGCCGGGTAACGGTGCGGGGGCACGGAGCGCGGCCGGCCTGGGAGGGCGGCGGCCCCTTTAAGAGCAGGCCACGCCCCCTCCCTCCTTCTGTTCGCGGCCAGCGGTCGGTGGCGGCCGCTACGGTGCTGACAAGATGGCGGCTGGCGGAGCTGTCGCTGCGGCGCCCGAGTGCCGGCTTCTCTCCTACGCGCTACACAAGTGGAGCTCCTTTTCCTCCACCTACCTTCCCGAGTAAGTGCCGGGCCCTGAGCTCGTGCTGCCCCACTCTTCCGCGTCAGCACGGCTGGGCCAGGGGTGCCATGGAGGGCAGCTGAGCCGAAAGGCCCAGGCGGGGCCTGCTGAGGGGGACGCGCGGCCTCGGGAGCCTTAGTTCAGCTGCTGAGAGCGTTGCTCGGCCCCGCTCGGCCCCGCTCCGGAAGGGGTTAGGGTCCCTGGAGCGAGCCCAGGGAGAAGGGGCGAAGTGTGTGGCGGATCCGGGGCGCGCACAGGAGAACCGGAAGCCCAGTGGTGCTGCGCTTGGGATTTGGGGGTTGAGGTTGAGGAGGGCTTGCGGGTCGGGCGGCTCAGGGAGGTGGGGCAGGAATCGGAGCTTGCGGGGCCCGGCCCGCGGGGAAACTACTCCGAAGGTCTGAGGTCGTCCGCGGTGGCCGGCGTTGGGGGACAGTTCAGTCGATTGCTGCCGGGACAAAGTGTAAAGACGAGGAGTGTATTCCAGAGTGGGGTCATTAAAAGTGGTTAGCTCTAGAGTAGCGTTAAAAGTCACAGAAGGCTGAAAAGTTATGGAATCCTTCTGAATCCCGGCAACCGGGGAGAAGTTGTAGGGCTGGCAGACGATGTCTTTAATGCCTGGAAGTTCTGAAAAAGATAGGGAGGGGGAAGGAGGGACGTTACTGAAGAATTCCACTGTTACGGCTCATTAGAAGATGGGTTTGCATAGACACAAACCAGTTTCCCAATCCAGAAACTCAAACAGAAAAATCTGGCTTTAATGAATTTGATTTTCAACACCCGCTCTCGTGATCCCCGATTTAGGTGTTAAACAGTTCAGTTGCATTGTTAGTTTTTTTTTTTTTTTTCTTTTTTTTCCTTTAGCAAATTCCTTCTGAAATGCTGAAAAAACTCTTACACAGTATCTTATTTATCTTTGATTTATCTTTGAAAGGAGGAGCAGATCTAACTCCCAGTTTTACAAGCTAGTGGAGAAACTGGCTTAGCAAAGGTTTGAGATCTGTGCAGATCCTTTTTTCCTCTAGCAAATTCCTTCTGAAATCCTGAAAATACTCTTACGTAGTATCTTACATATCTTTGGCTTACCTCTGAAAGGAGGAGCAGATCTAACTCCAATTTTACGTGTAGTGGAGAAACTGACTTAGTAAAGGTTTCAGATCTGTGCAGATCCTGAAGAAAAGTGCCAGTTGTCCCTGTAACCATCATCTCACAGGCTGGAAACGATTTTACGAACAAACAAATTAATGAATACTACATTTTTATCTTACTAAACAAAAAAGTGACTAGATCTGTGAGGCATACTCAAGTAAGTTTTCCACCTATATTTGAGAAATTCTTCACATTTATCCAAATTTGATTTCACTAGTTATATCAATGAGGAATCTCAAAATGGAACTGCAACTGGAAGAATCTGTTTTGACTGCCAGCCTCCCTTTTTATTCACCAGGTCAGGATTTAGCATTCAGTAGGATCTGGCTCACTGAAGGATGCCAAGTGACCGGTGTTTTGATTTGGCCGGTGTAGCCTATTATTCATGGCCATATCCCTGATTGATGCTGGAACTCAACTTTCAGTTTTAGAGTGAGCCACGTCAACATTCCAGCCATCAGCTGCAGTTGAAATGTGGCCCTGTGTACCTGACTTCTGATATTTTAGGTTACCATGTTCTTGAATGTGAAGTTACTCAGCATTTTTCTATACCCAGGCTAGGATTATGAACAGTTGGGAATTGGTGTGGCATTGTTTGATCAAACTGTAGAGACATTTTTCTGGTCTTGAATTAGTCTATTTCCAGGATGTCACTCCTTAAACTGTTGATGTAGGCCTCTTGAATAACACATGTAATATCTGCATTATCTGTTGCATGGACATTTTAAGAAAGAGTACATTTCCAGCAGGAAATGATTTAGTGGGATGGCAACTTTAATCTGACTTTGTGTCTTGTTACTCTGGTCCCTGGTTTGCAGTGGGCAGAACACTAGTGTTGGAGTTAGCAGCAATTTGAGATTGGAGAAATACATTGCTGCAATTTTCTCAAGCACATACATAAAATAGTATTTAATAGTTATTTGACTTTCATACAGTTCCATTTACTGTATCTTAATCCTTATGACATTCTGTTTACAAATATAGTTTGTTTGTTTGGCAGTATAGTTTGTATTTAAAGCATAAAGTATTAGAGCAATCTGAGCTTTTTTCTTTGAAGGATTGTAGGTGAGTATTATTATGGAGCTTAAGCTGGAGAATATTGTGTCTGCTGGGTTGGTATGTGCCATGCCTAAATTATAAAACTCTTGGCTCTGAACTTCTATAAGCAAGCAAAGATATTACTCCTCTGTATGTAAGAAAGGGATTGGCTTTACTTACCTTTGCCTTAAAATCCCTTCTAGCAGCAATTGATGTATCTTTATTGGCAGTGGAAGCCACATTAAGGTGCTTCTTAAACAGTCTCATTTTAGGTGAAGTCGTTTGTTGAAATTGTCCACAAATTGGCAAATAATTTGTTGACATAGATCTAAACATTTTGAGGTGGCAGTAATAAAACAGTAACAAAAATGGTAAACATTTGTGATGCGCCCTCCACTTGCTAGGCTCTCTTATGAACGAACATTTTTAAGTGTATCAACTCATTTAATCCTTACAGCAATCCCAAGTGGAATCTCCATTTCCCAGATGTTGGAAACAGGTAGGGAGAAGTTAAAACTTGCCTAAGGTCACACAACTGATTGGAGCCAGGATTTGAATCAAGGTAGTCAGCCTCCACAGTCTGGTCTTTGAGTACAGTGATTTACTGCTTCTGCACAAAGTAGATGCAGTACAGGAGATCAGAGCTTTCAAAGAGTTCTTGTGTTAAAGACACATTTTAGTTGTGTAAAGAAATGTGAAGTCATTTTTAAAAAGTTGAACAATTTTATCTCTTATTTTCCTTCTAAGGACTTAGAATTTTTTCCCCCTTCTTTCAGGGCAGAAAAAAACAAACATTTCCCCTTTCAACTCTTTTTGATTTATTTGGACCTTAAAAATGTTAAAGCAGGCGTGAGTCCAGCCCCCGCCAGCTCGCGAGCCACCCGCGAGCTCACACCGGCTTCTCTCTTCATCCTCTGCTTGCCGGCCGCCATCGCCGTCGTGCTGGGCGCCGCTCTCCGCCGCTGCGCTGTGGCTGCAGCCGCCCGGGCCCGACCCCCGGCCCCGCCGTGGCTATCCAGTTAGTTCGCTATTATTCCCATGGGTCAAATGAGACAGATGAGGAGTTTGATGCTCGCTGGGTAACATACCTCAACAAGCCAGATATAGATGCCTGGGAATTGCGTAAAGGTAACACACTTGTTACCTATGATCTGGTTCCAGAGCCTAAAATCATTGATGCTGCTTTGCCGGCATGCAGACAGTTAAAATGATTTTGCTAGTACATTTCGCATCCTAGAGGCTGTTAAGGACAAAGCAGGACCTCATAAGGAAATCTACCCCTATGTCATCCAGGAACTTAGACCAGCTTTACATGAACTGGGAATCTCCACTCCAGAGGAACTGGGCCTTGACAAAGTGTAAACCCCATGGATTGGCTTCCCAAGGATTTATTGATATTGCTACTTGAGTGTAAACAGTCACCTGGAAATAAGATAATATGTTAATATTATCTTATTTGAACAAGTTTTCCTTTATTGAGTACCAAGCCATGTAATGGTAACCTGTACTTTAATAAAAGGGAAATGAGTTTGAAATTAAAAAAAATTAAAGCAGATCCAGTTTTAGGGAATACGTTTTTACTTTGAGACTAACAAAATGGCCTTTTATTTTTGTGTGCTTAGAAGAGATTGCCTGTATTTTACTTTTTTTCTGAAATTTACACCTAATTTGAGAGTTAAATACACTTACTTAAGTAATTCATAGAATTACATATACTCTTACACATAAAAGTATTTTGTAAACTGCTAATCCCTGTGCTCAGATGTTTATTGTTGTAGCTAATAATGATGCTAGCTATAATTTATTGAGCACCTAATGTATGCAAGATGCTTTTTGTATACAGTTTAATTCTTGGCACAAACCTGTAAGATAGGTATTATATATAAAAAAAAATTTGCAGAGGATGAAACTGAGGTCCATACAGAGTAAGTAGCTTGCCCAGGGTCATATAGTTTTCCAGACCCTTGACAGGTTTTCTGACTTAAAAACTATTGCGTTGTGACTTAACAGTCACCATTTATTTAGTACCTTCTATTCTTCAGGTACTGTACTGAGCACTTTGCATGTGTTCTTTGATTCAGTCTTCACAAAAATATGAGATAAATATTATTCTCTGTTACAGCTAGGAAAAGTGAGATTCAGAGAGGTAAATTAACTTGTCCAAGTCTAAGCGTTGAAAGTGTAGGAGGGGCAGGGCAGGGTGGCTCATACCTGTAATCCCTGCACTTTGGGAGGCCAAGGCAGGAGGATTACGTGTGCCAGGAATTTGAGACCAGCGTGGGCAACACAGTGGGACCCCATTTCTAAAAACAATGAGGAGGAGGAAGAAGAAAATGTAGGAGATACGGTTCTCACCTTGGGCCTTTTGACTTCTGAAAGCTGTCTCATAATTACATATGGCTATCATGTACGTATGTCAAATTGAGATTACAGATAAGAAGTACTCTAAGGTTAGAACAACAAGAGAGGGAAAATATATTTTATCTTGATGTTTAAGATTTTAATATACTCATGAAAACTGGGAGAAACTTGGCAAGTATTGTTTGCATATTAGGTATTTTCATTTGTATAAATGATTTTTATGTTGTTTACATGTTTTTGAATGACAAATTAGATGATAAAATTTGATGGATTTTTAAATGTGTTTACCTTTTCCCTATTATTACTTAAAATCAAATAGTACTTAAAATAGTACCTTGTGTCAACATGAGATTCATGGTTCAGAGTACAAATGTTATGATTTGACAGCTAGAATAGAAAGTGAATTTATTTCAACTCCTTTTAAAACTATTCACATTTAAAAATGAATGTAGGCTGGGCATGGTGGCTCAGTCCTGTAATCCTAGTACTTTGGGAGGTTGAGGCAGGACCATCACTTGAGGCCAGGAATTTGAGACCAGGCTGGGCAATGTAGTAATACCCCATCTCTACAAAATAAAAAATATATGTAAATATTTATATATTTTTATTATACAAAATGCATATGCATATTTGTATATTTTTATGTAAAAAAATATTAATTTCCATATATTCTTTTCTCTTCATCGCTATAAAAGAAAAATAACACCCTGTCAACACCACATCTCTACAAAAGAAAAAAAAGAAAAAAGGATATGTAAAATGTATTTCAATCTGTTTTATAGATAATAGACACTTTTTATATGATCTATTAATATATTTATATATGCAAATATATTTTGATGCAAAAAATGCTCTGTTTATTATTTACAAAATATAGACCCACAGAAACAAAATTTACGTTACCCTTGATATCACTACCTAAAGATTACTAGTCACCCTTTAAATATTATTTATCATTCCAGATCTTTTGCAGTATATTATATATTTTTCAATTTACTATTGTTCTCAGTTTGCTGTTCTGTATTTGCTTTTTCCTCCTTAACATATAATAAATGCTTATGCTATTAAGTATTCTTCTATATTATCTTTTTTTTTTTTTTTTAAGGGACAGGGTCTTGCTCTGTCACTGATGTTGGAGTGCAATGGCATGATCATAGTTCACTGCGGCCTTGACCTCCTGGGCTCAAGCAGTCCTCCTGCCTCAGTTTCGCATGTAGCTGGAGCTATAGACACATGCTACCATGCCTGGCCAATTTTTTTTTTTTAAAAGGAGTCTGGCTCTGTCACCCAGGCTGGAGTACAGTGGCACCATCTCAGCTCATTGCAACCTCTGCCTCCCAGGTTCAAACGATTCTCCTGTCTTAGCCTGCCAGGTAGCTAGGATTACAGGCATGTGCCACCACGCCCTGCTAAATTTTTTTATTTTTAGTAGAGGCAGGGTTGCTCTATGTTGGTCAGGCTGGTCTTGAACTCCTGACCTCAGGTGATTCATGTGCCTCGGCTTCCCAAAGTAGCTCAGGCGTGAGCTACTGCACCCGGGTCAGAAAAAAATTTTGAACTCATTGGTGATAAATCCCTAGATGTTGAGTTGCTGGATTAAAGACATCAGTTTATTTCCTTCTATCTGTGTAGACAGACAGCACTCTGGGCAGTCTGGGTTCATTTTGGCATTATCCTTGGTAATTTGGAAGAAAAAAATGTTTAAATCAGAGACAGGTCGTTCGAGATGTCTGGAGAATGCTTATAATTCAGAAGTGATAATACTCCCGATAACTTTTTTTTCTTCCTCCTCTAGCCCTTTATTTTAGCTTTTAAGTGAATTTTGATTTTTGTTAATTACATATAATTGAAAAACAGGACATATTTATGAAATTTATTGTGTATTTGGTGTACAGATAAAGATGGTTGCACAAATGGATTTGAGGTGTTGTTATCATAATTCTGTAGGCTCCTGCAACGTACAATTTGTGAACCACTAGTTTGGAGGAATGCAACTCCCAGGAGACTGGAGACTATTATCCCTTTCTTTTCTTACTTTTCTTTCCCTACTTTAAACTGAGATTTAAGGACACTGACCTTGCTTGGGAACCTTACTGGCCACTGAAGGTTCTGTGTTTTTTAGTCTGGGATTGTTAGAACTTCAGAAAAATAAAAACACTCAGGATGGAAGAAATATATGAGATAGACGCAGGATGAGAATTTGTCTTTATAGCTAATTCCTAGAATTAGATATTTGTGACTTTTGGCAAGTTATGATTCTTTCATGGGCGTCAGCTTCTTGTGTAGAAATATTTTTTATCTGGATAAAATGTTGCCAGCTTTATGTAGAATTTTTGGAGCAGTTGGGCAAATAGTTTTATTTGCATAACTTTTACGTAAATATTTAAATAGGTTTTTGATGAATGATTTTTGGCCTTTGTGATGTTTTATATGTAGGTAAGATACATTTCAGCCACTTGTGGCAATGAGTTTGCTGTATTTCAGTCATTCAGAAATCGTTTTTGGAAATATGAGAGATTTCCTAGACTGTAATTTTAGAGATACAGCTATTTATAGACATTTTAATATGTATGTTTCAAAGAATAAACAGTTGAGAATTTAGAGCTCCCTGATTATTGTTTGTTTATGTCATTTGTCAGAAATTTCTGATGAGGGACCATAGAGTGGAATATTTATAAAATTGCTAGATCTTTATAGGTTCAATCTTAGGATAATTGATCCAGATATCTTCTCTACTTCTGGATTTCCCAGGGCTTGTTTTGTGAATGGCTGGCTCTGTAGATTGTTGCTTATTAAGGGGTGGTCAGATAAAGCTCTGAGAAGTCCAGCAGTATTAAAATCTATTAATATGAAGGACTTTTGAAGAAAATATTTTTTATCATCTTTGCACATTGTGGAGATGTTTCTCTTAGAAAATTTTTTTTGTTGTTTAATGAGAACTTCATGACTTGGTTATGAATATTTGTAAAAACCCATGAAGTCAAAGTAACATTCTATAGACTACAATATATATATATTTATACTATAGATAAACAAATATTGTTTGTTTTAATGGGTTTTGCTTATGATGAAATGTTACTTATTAAGATTAATCAATGTTTAAAAAAGTATACAAAGAGAAAGGAAATATTATTTATAGTCATTACCTAGTAATAATTTAAGTAGTCTAATATAAATCTGTCCTTAAAAAAGTTGTTAAATGGCAGCTAATTAGATTGAAGTACTCTAACATAACTTATATTTTGAATTGGTAGTTAATAATAATTGGAAAACTAGGCTGTAGATTACATAGCCTAACATTGTAGGGTTTCCTCTTAACACATTTTAGCTGTGTCCCACAAGTTTTGGTATGTTACATGTTCATTATCATTTACATAAAAATGTTTTTCAAATTTTATTTTGGCTTATTCTTTGACCTGTGAGTTATTTGTTTTTTGTTTTTTTGAACAAGTATATTGCTTTCTTTCTGAACATTTGGGGATTTGCTAGTTATCTTTCTCTTATAATTTCACTATGATTAGAGAACACACTCTGAATGATTTCAGACCTTTATTGATACTTATTTTATGGCTCAGCATTTTTATAAATGTTTATATACCCTTGAAAAGACTATGTATTCTGCTGTTAACTACTGTCTTCTATGTACTTTATTAAGGTAAAGTTTGTAAATTTTGTTATTGTGTTGTTCAAATCTTCTCTATCCTTACTGAATTTTTTTTTTTTTGCCTTTTTTTCTATTCATTACACAGAGAGAGGTGTCTTGAGGTTAAGTGTTGAATGTATCTTACTGTGATTATGGATTTGTATATTTCTCCTTTTAGTTCTATAAAGAATTAAACTATATGCTTTATGTATTTTGAAGTCATGTTACTAGGCACATACAAACTTAAATCTTTCTAGTAAATTGGCTCTTCTTCATTATAACATGTCCCTTTTTATCTCTAGTAACACTTCTTGTTTGTTGCCTCAAAGGCTTAGTATAGCTACACCTGCTTTATTTTGGCTACTATTTGCTTGCATAGTATAACTTTCCCTCTCCTTTTGCTCTTAATGCTCCTGTAGCTTTATATTTGAGGTCTGTTTCTTGTTAAGAATAAACAGATTTTTGTTTGCCTGTTTTTAATTAAATCTGAAGTATATTTAGCTCATTAACATTTAATATAATTATTGATAAATTGGGGTTT